CTTACTACAACCTATTCATCAGTGCAAGTTCGCTATATGCATCCATTGATTGAATATGAGGCACTCGTGGAGGTTGCCTGCGTTTCATTCTTGCATACGTCTTTTTCGAAGTGAACCTAGAGGTTTCCACTTTACGATCTTCTCCTTTGTGAGCATAAATATGCTCTACTGCTCATGAGTGAGGCGAGAAGCATTAAGAAGGGCGCGCGCTGCGTGCGCGTCGCGGAAGTACCTATGGGAACCTGGCCGGGGTCCACACTATACCTCCAATGCGGACCATTCGAAAGTGATGAATCCATGTTGTTGTTAATCCACCATGGTAACATATCATACTCCCTTATTTTCGGAACTACGGCTAACTACGACATTCTTGAATGCCTAAGGTCAAAGCTACTGGTGAAAAATTAGAATTTACTCAAACCGGCAGAGTATTTAACAGGCTACATCGACATTGGAGGTCTGTTTATTTGAAGTGGCCATTTCACATGAAAATGATACGACTATAAAGAGCATCGAACGCTAATTCCAAATCTATCTTCGCTATCTGCCGAGTGCCTCTGGACGTCGAGCTATGAGCGTTTTTAGTGGAAAAATTGAATGCATAATTAGCACAAAATTCGTCAGAATTGCCCAAATAGTCCAATGTTTATTAACAGAGCACTCAATTGAACAATACCTTCTGTTCAAAACATTCATACTCAACACTGCTCTATTTGAGCGCTAGAAAGAACGTAAAATTTGATTTTACCTAGATTACGCGTTTATTTTTCACAACAAGCAAATATCCATAACTTGGCCTGCAGAGGCGCTCGGCAGATAATGAAAATAGATCTGGAGTTAGCGTTTGATGCTCTTCAAATGATATAAGGGTCATTTGGAAAGGCCACTTTGACTAATCGGACCTCCCTTGTGAGTAACGTTGTTGCTGATAAATCACTGGCGCTCCTGTGCATTAGTGACGAAACGGTGCTACTATACTACTATACTACTATATGATGTGATTCCTTTTGCCTCGGTTTTCTTTGAACATCATTTCACTCTCATCAACTTTGAAAGTCTGGTCAGCAGGCAGTGAGTTCTACCCAATTTGTGTTACTGGCTAGGCTTCGTGTTTGTGTTACTGCGTTCTTTCTTTCTAAAGGCGCACCTTGAGTGCATATGATAAATATATAAATAAATCATTTGTTCTCGCCGTATATTACTGCCTACTTCAAAAACGCACGTTAACCGGAAGAACAAGCAATGCTATTCACAGCTCGCGGAGGGTCCGTATCAATTAATACCCTGACATCCGCTCGCAGCCGCACATTGTAGTAACTACTGAGGTGTGACGCAACCCTTAGTTTAGCTGCGTTACGCGGTCTCTCTCGCTTCTCCAATCCCTCTCCCTAAACTACAATCTTTCGCTACTCCTGAGGTGCGAACGGCCAAAAATTTCTATTGGATGAAGGTTCTAATGAAACAATTTGAACGAAGGATTTTGAAAACATTTAAGTGAACAATAGAACAATGATTAGACATACTCGAACGATTGAACCGTCCGACTACGGTTTTCAAATTATTAGAATTCAAATATTCGAATATTGACACATCTCAGAAATGAGATTTCCAAGAAAGGAAGTATCTGGACATGTTCGAATACTTTATCAAAATCAAATCTAGCTTCAAAAAATTCAACTCTTATGTCGAAATCTAACTTGAATTTCATAACTATGCAAAAACACACACAGTAAGAATAAACAAATTAGGTCGTTTTGATGTAGGTTCTCTATGGGATTGAGGCAGACTGTATATACCCGACCGTATGCCCTAATTAAAAGTTTATCGGACTGTGGTGCGCCCAATCGCCCTGTAAAAAGCAGAACGTTGACAAAACTAGGAAGCACGAGCAGTACCTGTGCATGATAAGACACGCATGATATGAGCACTTGGGCTTACGCGAAGAAACTGTTTTACGAGTTTGATGTGCAGTTTAGGTGTAACGAACGGAAATTTTCATCGATTGAACGAATGTCGAATAATTGATTTTTGAAAACTTTTCGAACGAATGAACATCAAATAATTGATTTTTGAAAAATTTTCGAATGAACGATTATTATTCGATTTCCGATTTTCATGTTATTCAAATTCGAATGTTCGAATATGGGCACATTCCAAAATTAGATTTTTCAAATATTCAAATAACCGAATTTAATCGAATATTTGACTATTCGAATAAACGAATAACTGGATATTATCGAACATTCGAATGCAATACTCGAATAATCGCATGCAATATTCGAATATTCAAAAGCAATAGTCGAATATTCGAATATTCGAATAACTGTCTTTCGAAACTCCTCGACTATTCGATTATACGAATAAGTTATTTTCTCGAGTCGTTGAATGAACGAATTATCCGAACCTTTTTTATTTATTCGACTATTCGAATAATCGAATAATTGGACTTTCTCGAATATTCGACTGTTCAAGTATTTCGAATAAATTATTCAAATAGAATATTCGGTTCCAACTATAATGCGCAGCACATTTGGAGTTGCTTCAATAGCGGAAATATGCTTAGGCCAAGGTCATCATGGTATGGTCACTTTCCACGAAGTCATGACAGTTGCAGAAACCTTCTTCATTCATTCGGCTATTCGAATAAATAAATAATTGGACTTTTTCGTATACCCGAAGAGTCGCATACCTCGAATAAATTATTCGAATACGGATATTCTGTCCCAACTATAGAGTGCCACAGAGTTGCTTCAATAGCGGAAATATGCGTGGGCCAAGGTCATCTGGCATGGTCAATTTCCATGAAGTCATGACAGTTGAGTAGCAGAAACGGCATTTAGCCCAATTCATAGGGAAGATGACCTCGCTGCCGGCCGAAGCAATGTTTACACGATTCGAAGTTCTGTAAGGCCCGTATGCACGTACATCCCCGCTGGGGAGGGGAGGGGAGCTGGATCCCCAGGGGAACGATCCCCTCCGCCGACCCCCGCCATGACAGAGGGGAGGGGAGCGATCCCCTCCCCTGCACCTAAGCAGGGATGGTGTGAATGGTTTCAGAGGTATTGATCGAGCGAACCCCAGTGCATACGGGGTTCGAATGAGGGAGGGGATCCCTTCCCCTCCCCCACTCGAACCCCGTATGCGCGAATTTGACTCAACAACGCGGGGGAGGGGATCGACATCCCCTACAACGGAGTAGGGGTTCGATGATGTAGGTAAAGCTAGAGAAGCGAGTATTCTGATTTCAATCAATTATTGCAAAGCATTTCATTCAAATTGATGAAAGATTTTCTACGGGAGCCGGGTTCCTATCTCAGCGACCTGTAGCTTGCAGTTTTAACTCCATAATCGCTTCTTGTAAAGAAATCCGGATATATATTTGCCAGTTTCGAATATCTGTAGAAGTTTGAGACCATTCACGAGAATTGCGCATTTTCTACTTGACATGATTGTTTTATCCATAAAGGCTGGTACAACATATTGTAATTATCACATTATATGATAAACTTTCTTTATCTTATTATTCGAACGTAAAACTGCTTTGAATAAAATGAAAATTAGCAGAATCGCGTGTTTCTGAGTAGAGATCCTCGGGGGAGTGATCCCCTCCCTAGCGTTCCCCTTGTGCATAGCAGGGATGGCCGCTGGGGATCATTCCCCTGGGATAAAGGACGATATGCAGCTGATAGCTATAGCGTTTATGGAGAGCTGGCACAACTTGCAGCTTCTGTCACGTGTTAAAATACTGCTTTGAGCGTCCGCGCGGCACCCCCCCCCCCCCCCTTTTCGGCAGCATAACGTCTTCTGCCCATTCCCTAGCAGAGACACATCAACTTCTATAGTTCAACATTTTTACGCTGAAATGGGGCAGCATGAGCGAATGTGGGCAGCATCCAAGAAAGCAGGAACATAATGGGAGTAGAAAAAATCATTTGTGGTGCCCCGAGCGCAGTCACTGCATATGCACATTCCGCAACCCTAAATTATTGAAGGTGAAGAGATGAAGATGAGTTGCAGTCAAAATATGAAATAAGAAAGAGTTTTTCATAGAAAATTTGAGAGCAAGGTGATTTCCCCGCTCGATCCCCTCTTGTGCATAAGGGGGTTCACTTCCCCTCCCCACAGGGGATCCCTTGTCCAATATTGTCTTTGTGCATACGGGGGTTCGCGCGGGGAGGGGAGGGGATCCCCAGCGGGGATCATTTCAATGGTTAAGCGCACATCCCCTCCCCGCGGGGATGTACGTGCATACGGGCCTAAGTGTCAACCCGATCGAGACAAACGGAAATCACAGCAACACCCCGACTCTCCGCGACAATGGCAAAGATAAGAAAGAATTTTTTGGACAATTTGGTAATTGACTTCAAATTAGATGTTTGCAGGGACGCGGAAATAATTGGTTCACAAATTCTCTTTATAACAATCATATTCACATTCAGAATCGAGAACGGGTGGGATTATGTGCTACCTATTTCCACTTACAGCAAACCGAAGTTGACACGGGAAACAATGGATCGATGAGAAGTGGTAACGAAATGGTAAGTACAGGGCTTATCAAATTGAGTGTCGTTTGCACCCGCATCTCCATCTTCGCGCTGGACTCTGCGTCTCTTCTGCCGTACATGCTCCCCAATCACTTCCGATCGATTGAGGCTCCACCTTTCCCACGCTCACCTTGGGAAAGTACTCAGAGAGCAGCCCGCGAAAGAGACGCAGAGTCCAGCGCGAAGTTGGAGATGCTGGTGCAAATGACACTCAATTTGATAAGCCCTATAGTCTTAACTTACAGCGAGTTCGCTATTTTCGTTTACGCATGCAGAAGCCATTCCAACTAATATTTATTGCTAAACTACAACCGCATTCTAGAAATTAAAGGCATGACTGTCATGAACATGTAGCACACAACATGAGAAAATCACGATTTTGCGGCAAAAAAAAAAAACAAGGCTGAGCCATTTATATACAAGGATCAAAAGATACACAAATTTACACAGATACACAACAACTAGTAAAATGATTTGAGGATTATCAATCAAGATGACAGTCTAGCAAGCACCTGAGATCAAACAGAGGAACAAGGCGAAGTTACCCGTTAATGACTTACAGCTGACTATTTATGCTTCAAACTCTCAAGTTGGTACTTAAAAATAACGTCGTTGATATCTTTCTGAAGACGATACGCTAACTCAGAATGTTTCGCTTCCAATTCACGAGCAAGCTCTTCTATCATACGACCTGAAATAGCCATAATAGTGTGCATCGATGCGACCAAAAAGAACTCGGAAATCATCAAGAGATTCCCGTGGCACAGTGAACGGCTAGCTGAGAGACTAAATTAAAATGGCGATAGTGGATCGAAAAGAAGAACGCTGTTCAAAAGCGACTATATACCGCAGATTGCGAAAAACGTTCAAAAAAAAAAGCACAGGACTATGTGAAAAGTATGTGAAGTATTTCAGACAGGTGAGAAACTGTGATATTCACCCATAAGAGTCCATTTATCTTCATAAGGGCGAGGTCCGTGAAGCATGTCGCCGAACGTGGTGTCTGCATTGCCGAATCCCATTCGCGGTAGCGAATTTTGCAAAATGTGGTCAAGCTCACTTTTCACCTCAAAGTGAAATTGTGTGAAGAGATCACCAATAAGATGCTACCAAGGGAATGGTCAGAAGTCGAAGTGGCCAATTCATACAAGCTGCATACCATTCGATGCAGCATAGAATGCTGATTTCAAATCTGTCTTCCATATCTGCAGAGCGCCTTTGTGGACGAAGTTATGAGCAGCTTTACTGCGAAAAAATTGTATACAAAAACTGCCAAATTAAGCACATTATTGCTCTTTCAGCTCACCTCTAGGCATGGGTCATATGAAGCGACCTAGTTGCATGTTTTGACCCAACATTGAGCCGAGAATGGCTTTGTACGGCAAAGTTTGCACTTTACACGCACAATTTCTTAGCAAAATAATGGTCTTCAACGGCTTATAGCTTCCTCCACAAAAGCGCTCTGCAGATAAGAAAGACAGATTTAGAATCAGCGTTTTATGCTGCATCTAATGGTACGCAGCTTGTACGTATTGGCCACTTCGACTTCTGACCATTCCCTTGTAAGGTTTTTGACAATGCTACCGTTTATCTCACCCTACTTCAAATCTTTTAGAAAAATGCCTTAAAGGCGGTGGCTAGGGAAAATTGCAAATACGAGCTTTACATCCCTCCTTGGCCTTCTGAATAATCCAGACGTGTGCTTGAAAAGTCGAAAAAGTGCTTTTCATGGCATTTTCCGGCCATGGAGATTGCTGGGGGATGGGCGAGGGATCACCAACTGAGTCGCTGGCTGCCTGAGCCTAAAACCAATAGCCGCCAAAATGGGTGGAGTAACAGTATCTTGCACCCAGTCGCTGGTTTTGGCGGAAATCCCTCAACCAACTCCTCAGCAATTTCCGAAAACGCCGAAAAGCACTTTTTTGACTTTTCGAGCACAATCTCGGAATCAGTGGACCAAAGATGCCATGTAGGTGCAAAAAGCTCGCACTCGCAATTTTCCCTAGCCAATGCCTCTAATTGTTGACACTAAGGAACAGAGCTAATGAACCATTTTTATAAGCGTCACATTTCAAAGTAAAGTTGATTCGTACCATGACTTGAGCCGTTGCGGTGGGAGGGGTTGAAGGGACTGATTGTGGCGCAGTTTCGCATGAATCTTCTCGAGGGGGAACCCATGTAGAAACGACCTGGTGATTGTATGAAATAATTTGGCATATAAAAAGCCAGTATGTATCATAAGCAAAGGAGTATCATGTTCCATAATAAATGTGCAGAATACTGTAAATACCTGTTGAATCTGAGGTGTAGATTCTACTTGTACATGAGTTTTGAGAGAGCCCGACGAATCAAAATTAGCAAGTCTCGGCCTCTTGCTTGGAGTGCCTTCCGCGCTCTTCTCTGTGACTGGAGCAGGCCTAAGACAAAAAGGCTCAAATAACAGAAAACAACACATTATAAAGTATCATACAGATATCCAAGCATTTTATAGATTTCGGTCTGGACGTCAAGAGGAACACCGACAGAACTTGTCGACGCAGTGCCGTTTTCTGAAGAAAAGAGTTAACGAGAATGTTCGCACAAGCAGCATATCTTCACACACCTTGTGGCATGCCATCAAACCGGCATGCACGCATAACCTCGGGTGAAAGGAAGAGCAATCTTTTGTAAAACTCCCAATCACAGCTTTCACCCTGTTTTGTTCTGGCGGTCAAGATATCGAAGCTGTTTCGTAGAGAGACCCACTTCTCGCATACTTGCTCCGCTATAATGCTCACGGTAAACATGAATGTATACTGCAAATTCTTTTTCTGGTCATTTCAGAGCAAATCAACCAAATCTTGCTTAAGAAAGATTGTACGCCTGCTACCGATAGATACCGCACTCGTCTGAAAGCAGTAATTCTGAGAACAGGGGCATGTGTTTGGTCGTGAACTAGGTATTTTGGCTCTAGAAGTCATGCTACAAGGGCCCGAGATATTTGTACCACTTTCTATCATTTGAGCTGTTGTGTACGTACCTTACGGTAGACAGAGCAAATCGGGGTAGCGATAAGCCTACTCAGGACTATAAAATATGCATCCGAAACCAGTATCTAGTTACGAAGAAGGGAAGAAACCGAAAATAATGTATGAGAGGCACACGCGTTTCTCCATAAGGCAATAAAAGAAAATGTATCTGCTGAGCTAAAGTTCCACATCAGCTCACTCAGCTAGAGGATACTAGATGAAATTACAGCAAAATCATGAGGGCTACACGACCTATTCCCTGTATCATTAGTCCTTTTGCAACAATGACAGCTAAAAAGTGTGCACGCTTAGGGACAAGTAAGTATTGAATTATATGCTCGACAGAAAACATGCTTATCCACTCAGAGCGTTTTATGGTAAATTCAAGAGCATATTTTTATGACCACAGCATAGAACATAAAGGCGCATTATGAGAACTGCGGGTGATGTTCGCGTCAGACAAACACAGTGTGTAAATTGTTATCAAGATCACTGTCTCAACCGCAACTACTTCCAAAGGTCTGTACTGAATGAGAAGCCTCATAATAAAAATGTACAGGTGATAACCATTAAATGAGCGCACCAATGATAGAAGCACCTCCAAGAACATCATTCATTTTCTTTGCCACTTCCAAGAAGAAATGCTTCTGAACGATCGGATTGCAGTATTGTGGATGATCGGGATGCCATAACACCGGAATCTCCTTTATATATTCAATAAGTTTGTTGACCATCTCTGGTGACCATTGCAGCCCTGCAAAGAGTTCACAGTGGGAATAAGACCTGGGATGTCGGAAGCACACCTGTGATCTCATCAGCAGTCCCGTTCGACTTCTGCCCGGTGAACAAAGCAGGAGAAAGTGAGGTGTTAGACGCGGCGTCATGGTTTGTGCTGGTAGCTGAAAAAGCAACGAGTAAATTTTTGTGTAAACGAGTAGCTGTATAACACAAAAGCTCCGTTATTCGACCTGTCTTCTTGTTTCTCGCATTTATCAATCCCGAAAGCGCTTGTGCTAACGTGGATGATGTTGAACCTCGAGGACGTCCTCTTTTTCTTGGGCGAATCTCATCTACAATTCACCCAAGTAAAATGGAATGACACAAAAACACGATGGTATACCAAACGGAATCGTAATCCTCTACCTGTAGATGTTGACGGCGGTTTGCACTTGTGGTAAACTAGCATCTCGGCGATAAATGTTGCGCAACCTTTCCTGACTTTCTTATCCAACTCAATCTGCAAATTCTGCTACTCTTATGCAGATTCTGGGATGTGATAAATTTCTGGCAGTGAGATAACATTCCCATATTGGCACTATATATCTAATTATCCTGTTTTGCGTGTGTTTCAACAAAAGCTGTAAAACTCGAGAAATCACTTATTTCACTCATTAACTCATAATAAAATAAGATGTCATTAGCCCACAACTACGCTACGCATCGACAAGCTACAGAACCAGGTCCAAATGTAGAATGTTTCGATCGTAAAAGTCGGATACAACATTCAAAATCATCACCGTGCCTGATACAAAGCGTTTTGAAACGACAATCATAGTCACCTTGATCTCCTGAGATTCCGCTTCCGTTTCGCCGTAAACGGCCGTCATTTCCACGAGTACCTCGGGGGTAAGCGATCTAAATTTATAGTGCAGCTGATATGAAAGCCAGAATGAGCACATACCCTATGTATTGCACACCATTGGCAGCAAATTCATTATGAAATGCCATAGCTCCTTTGAATCGCCAGTCGAACGATGGACGCTCAACAGTTCGCATGTACATCTCTACCATCCAACACCACTTGTCAAGAACAGACCATTCTAAAGAAAACTTGTGCACTACCTAACTCGCAAAATCAAAAGAGTAGTGATGCCTCTTTCAGTTGAAAAAGTCATAATCAATATATGAACGTCAATGTGATTCTCCTAGCCAACACAAACAGGAATACTACCAAAAGTTTTTGTGATCAAATATATAACTGAAGAAAAATTCCGCAAATGAAAATGGCCAAAGGGCAGAAGCCATAATCATGCAAAATTACTTGGAAGTTGAAGTAAATGACATACTCTCAGGAAAAAAGTGTTAACGAATACCGTTCATTCGCTCGTCCTGATTTGAAAGAATGCTAGCGATTTCACGGAAGTAGTACATGGTTTTTTCCTTGCTCGTACGGAAACGTGCATCCCAAAGTGCACGCCGATCCTTGACGAGAGCCACCAGAATTCCTCGCAGTGTATCGTTCCATACAGGCCGCTCCTAGGAATGGATTCTTTATAGCGAATTAGCTTGGAAGCTGAAAACAGACTCAAAGTCGTTTGATATAAGAGAAGAAGTTCGAATAGAACTATGTAGCAAGTGAAAAGATGGTAACTGTGTTAAGAAAACCTTTTGATAACTGCATCTCAAATATACCGAAATAAGCTGAACACGAGTGATATCAGGTATAAATAAATACCTTCAAAGATGCTTCCTCCACGCTCAATACATCCAACTGCTCCTTTTTGCATCGAAGCATCTTGACGGCTGATGATGTCCACGGCTACTTTCTCGCCAGCTTCCAACGTGATTAAGATTATCTGTTAACAGTTTAAAAGAAGCTTACTTTGAACTGGCAAAGCAAAATATGCGGAAATGAACTCACTTTAGTGGATTCATGGGAGGAGAGTCAGCATCGATTGATGAGCGGGGCGTGGCTTGTTCCGCCCCTCCATAGGTGCCACGCCCCTCCGACGAGTGGAGAGCCAAGCGTCGAAGCGGACGGGGGAGAGCGACAGGGCGTTTGCCCCACCCACGTCGTCCATCGTTCCGCCCATCGCGAACGTGCATCCACAGCGAGCGATTGACGTAAAAATAGTCGGTTGCGGACTGAGACAAGTCTCGCATACGCGCCGATTCCTGTAGGCAAGCTCCTTACCATAACGCATTAGAAAGCAGGTTCCTTCCTAATGTCTACTTTGTTCTGAATCGATCTCCATTTTCAAGTTGCTGAGAAGTCATTACGAGTGGTAAGAATATGAGGAATGAAGGAAGTCCAAAATATCTGATTTTGTTGTTCCTTTAAAAAGTGGAGTAAATCATTCAGAATTTGGCGGTCCACGACCCATCGATTTGATTAGGGAGCCTGCTTGGAAGGCAGCTCTGCGATCCAGCTAGTTAAGGGATCGTTCAAACCGCGTACCCGTCCGAATACGCCCGAATACGTCCGAATCCGCCCAGATACGTCTGAACCCGCCTGAACGCCGGAACTGCCAAAGCGCCAGATATGCGTCGAGCTAGTACGTGTGACTAAGATAGATATACGCACTACGCGCAGTATTCCACGCGTGCTCCGATATGCCAATTTGCACGCAGTCTGCTGCACTTTGGCAGTTCCGGCGTTCAGGCGGGATCGGGCGTATTCGGGCGGGTTTGGGCGGATTCGAACGTATTTGGGCGGATTTGGACGGGTACCGGCGCGGTCTGAACAATCCCTAAGAACAGCTGCTCGAGAAGGAGCTTGGCAGATGACAGCCTCTGGCAGTGACCTCCGGCCAGCGGCTCTCGCCGGTTGCCTTTCCCTTTCCTCTTTTGTATATAATTCTATTGATAAATATTATAGTAAAAGTTACTTGAATCCGCTATACATTAGGCTAGGGTCCGTACACACCTATTCCTGACAGCACCACACAATCTGATGCGCATGGCATCATCATTGGATATCGTGCAGCTGTTGCGAGCAATTGTTCAAGAATGTTTCCTACATGGAAGGCAACGTCCAAGCAAATCTGGGCATATGGTCACGTGAATAGTAATTTTGCGGCCCTTACTAGGACACTGCTAAAGCGGCGGCTCGATTCACTCGAGGCTGACATATTAATCTGCAAAAAAGACCCACCGTATGGTATGGTCGTCGGCCTGGACGCCCGCGAGCGTATTTGGCGCGCGGCTGAATCAAGGGTCTGGGGCTACGTTAGGTCTCCGGCAGAGTTCACGCGTTTTCATCGTCAAATACATGTACATACATGTCTTGTCGCGATTCATCGCGACAAGGCATGTGTTAGGCCCCGGACAGACTTCACGCGATCTGATCGTCGCGACTAAATCGCGACGAGACAACTGTTACAACATTATTCCAGCCGATCAACTTGCATTTCGGTTGTGATACTTTTCCAGCCCGAAATTTTTTGAATGTGAAATGAAAATGAATGGAAATTTCGGCGACTGAATCGCGACGATCAAATCGCGTGAAGTCTGTCCGGGGCCTTACGTGTTCATTGCCTGCCGATCTTCTTGTATTTCGGTTGTGATAGTTACTCACGATTCGGGTTGGAAAACTATCATAATCGAAATGCAAGAAGATCGGCATGCAATGATGTTGTTACAGTTGTCTTGCGCGATGAATCGCGACTATGAATTCGCGTCAACTCTGCCCGAGGCCTTAGGCGACAAACCCGATTTTGTGGGCCCCAAAAACTCTATGTGCAAAACGTCTTCGGCGGCGGCGGCGCCGCGTTATGGAGCAAAGCTACGCCGAATTTGTCTGTGGTATATCCTGAGAGCCCTTTGCGTTGCGTCGCTCCTACTTACAATAGCAGAGGAGCTAGCGCTACCGAGCGGATTGAGCCATTTTCTTCATCCTCCATAGATAAAAGGATCAAAATGTGAATGATAAACGTATTTCAAGGGCGAATCAAGTATAGAATATAGGGAAGAAGTATCTGAAAGCAAGCCAAGAGAATGTAGAAGATGAAGAAGTTAATTTCTCTGACGGGAAATTTCTACCCTTTTCTCTACTGATTCTCGTGTTTCACTTTTCTTGAACACCTTTTAATTCAAATCCAGCGTTGATCATCCCAGATTCAGCTCTGATTCATCCCTAGAATTCATCTATTTTTTGAATTTTCTAAATTGCAGTCTTCTATGTTTTCTTCGCTGCGTCTATACCTGTGACCATATCAGATCGGGGAGGCGTGCAAGTGTTACCCAGGCAGCCGCCTGGTGCCGCAGCCAGCCGCCAGAGCTGGCACCAGCGTCGCGGCTGAGCTACCGTAAGCGCGCTCTCATCGTCGACAATCTCTCGCAGAGAGATTTTCGCAGTAGCCTCGCACCTCATCGCGCTGAGGTGCGAGAATTTCCTTAGAGGTCGAGCTACTGCCACACATTATATATCGATCAACACAGCGGAAAATTTGTAGAATGCTAAATGAAAAGCACAGCCTTAGAGTTGTGCGTTAGGGAAAGCTTCCCTAACTGCCCTAATCGCGGCCTGAAATTTGAATAAATTTTCAGCAATATAAAAAATATAAAAGAAATCTTATTACCTTCTCATAATCTAGAATTATTCTAAAATTTCCGTTTCCTAACTTCTCTTTCAGAGATGTTTTCATTTTTGTTCAGAGATTTTTGTTCATTATAAAAATTTTCACAAACTTCGGATTTTCTACATAGGTAATTTGAGCAAGATGCTCAGACTGAAGGCTGTAAAGCTGAGGTTCTCATAATTTTGACACCTCGAACCTTAGCTGCTCAGCATCATTTCATCTTTTATACCTCCATATGTGGCACACTTTTTCTAATATCTGACCTATTTGGTGTTAAAAGTCTTCAAAGCCCCAAAGGTCACAACGAATTGTGCCAAAAAACCATTCAACAATCTATTTTATATTCTTTATAACTTACTCCACGATATTATGCTTTTAATTTAATTTTATAATCATTCCATCAATTTATTTATTTAACTTTTTTTGTTTTTGTATATTTTTTGTGATGTATATTACTAGTTAACTACAAATTTTCCGCTGTGTTGATCGATTTATAATAGTGGCACTAGCTCGACCTCTGAGGGAATTCTCGCACCTCAGCGCGATGAGGTGCGAGGCTGCTGCGAAAATCTCTCTGCGAGAGATTGCGGACGACGAGAGCGCCCTTACGGTAGCTCAGCCGCGACGCTGGTGCCAGCTCTGGCGGCTGCTGCGGCACCAGGCGGCTGCCTGGGTAACACTTGCTACGCACCCATCAGATCGTAGCGATAGGGAAAACTGGCAGGAGCAGCGCTACTCCAGCGCAATCAGAGGCGACGCTACGCAAACAGCCCTCAGGATATAGCAGGTTAATGCGGCGTAGCTTTTAGCGTAGCTCCATGACGCCTGCCCCCTCCCCCCCCCCCCCCCCCCACCCTCGGCGGCAAAGACAGGGTAGTGAGTGTCGGGGCCAATAGATAATTCGACGCTGTTGGAAAAATGGCGCTTAGTTGTGAATCACGGGCTTTGCGTTGCTTGCTTTTTTGCAAGTTTTGTCGCCTAAGGCCCTGAGCATAGTCACGCGATTTCTTCGCGACGTGATTCGCTAACATTAAATTGGACTCGCCACGCCGCGCTGTTGAGTGTGTGGGTTCCGACGCATTTCTGATGGCTGTTCGGCGCGACGAATCGCTACGCACTTCTCGACGTGCATTAGGAATTATCATTGCTATAGAATTATCATTGCTCCCCAGCGACAGATGGGCGGATTTGCGAGGGACCGTAGATTCGCCAGCAGGAACCATTACTTTTGGATTGGAGCAGGAATCCTCCGTAGAGCACCTTACTCTTCCAACGCTGAATTTGAGGATGCGCTTGCCAAATAACTCAATGTTGCGTCTTGCAACTCTACTACTGCAACTCTAATCCCGTATCAAGCTTGTCGAGCCACTTTCGGTCGTGACATGCACTCACTTATATCAGTGAAGCTTTTGCGCTCGAATGTACTCAATTACGGCTGACACTTTTTTTGCAGACGCTCTTGCCGCGTCTGCTATTTGAGCGCACTTCTTCTAGTGCCATGCTTGGCAACAGAAATCTATCCGAGAATATTTGAATTGGCAACAAATTTGTGCAAGTTGTGTACATTATCAAACTATCTTCCAGTAAACGTGGAACAAAGACTGATTTCATGAGGGCATCGCAGTTAAATGCATAAAGTAAAGCATGCGGAACAAAAAATTCAAGCGCCTTATTGCTCCGAAAAGGAGAACATTTTACAGTGTCAAGCTCTGCCATGATTTGCTTTGTAGTATCTCAGATTTACTTGAATCATTCAGGCCTATTGTAGAATCATTCTCCTTTTGTCATTTTATCATGTTCTTGTAAATCTGAAACACTGCAAGGGCTGACATGAAAAGTGGAGTCATAATTCAAGTTTGTTGAAGGTGACTTTGCAATTCTAATTGCAAAGGTCTCGGTTAATGGTGCCTACATTTTCGACAAACTAAGTCGTAAAACCTAAGCATCAGCATTTCAGATTTGCAAACTTATATTCTTGGCGAGCTTTGAAAAATGAAGTTCAGTGGTCTTTTTCCTCGTTACATTCCTGAGGAAAGCTCTATGCATCTGATACTTGAATTAGCCTTTCAGGTCCAAGCAGCATGATGTATGGTGACAAAAATCTATGGCGTATCCCAAAACATTGTGCACACTGTATGATCGTTAATAACTCTCTTGCCTTCATGTCTTTTTGAAGAGGGCTGTACAAATTTGACGGAGCTGAAAAAAACAACCACTTCTCAAGAGCGAAAGCCATTTATGCTCATACACTGTAAACTAGGCATTGCATATCATTAAAAAGAATAACAACCTCGACAATAAGCTGTCAACATGGTTAATATAATTTATCTCCTTACCTTCGTACCTGAAATTTTCTCAACACAGCGAACTCACTTTGACAAAAGCACAAAAGAACAAATCTTGGCCGCTCTCGAGAAGTCACGGCAAGAAGACGACGATCAACCGCTGATCAGTGCGCAACATTCACAATCAGAGACAAACTACGATGTTAAGAAACTGGTGTGATCGTCTCCACGATTCGTGTAGAGGCGGGTTGCGGACTTTCCGTGATTTTAAGGATGAACTTGTTAAACCTCTACTCATAGCATTGTTCTTCGCACTCTCTCGCTATCAAAAACCGCACGCTTTGAGTTGGCAAAACTCCGCCTTTACACGAATCGTGGAGTCGACGATACAAATCAGTTTCCTAGTGCCGCCTTTTTTGCAAGAATTTCGCTTATAGGCAGACTCCCCAATAGTCAAGGCATTCACTGAAGCTGAAAGGAGACGGTTGTCCAGATCGAAAAAGTGATATTTACTAAAGAGAACAGGAAAAGACAAATCAAACTTTTATGTACAAATTCAAACCGCATTAACGAAGAATTTTGTACTTGATGCTGATAGTAATGGAAACTTAGAGCTTGAGTAACTCATCTTATGCTGTAAGTCTGCGCGGTTTCCCAAAATCAGTTTCCGCTGGCGATACCCATTTGTCCAGATTTGCCTGGACCCGCTTTCAAAGAAAGTGGCTCGGCAAGCTTGATACGGAGATTAGAGTTGCAGTAATAGAGTTGCAAGACGCAACACTGAGTTATTTGGCAAGCGCATCCTTAAAATCAGCGTTGGAAGGATAATGTGCTCTACGGAGGATTCCTGCTCCAATCCAAAAGTAATGGTTCCTGCGGGCGAATCTACGGTCCCTCCGGATTTGCGTCAATAAGTCGATGATCTACCCTATCTCACAACATTAGTGAGATCGCTCTGCCAATATAATGGGCACTCCGTATGACCTTATTGAAAACAGCGGCTCTGCAGATTCTCTACTTGAAGTTTTTTTTTGCTTACCTGGAGTAATTTGAGGCGCTAATTCTGAAAATCGCCTTGAAGAGCGCGAAAATAGCAAAAACCACCATTTCCCAGGCCTCCCATCTGGAATTTGGACGAGTGGAGCACGTTCCGCTATGGTTGGAGAGGCAGAATCTGCGGGACCCTCGTAGTTAAAACATTGCGGCATGCTTTCTTTGACGGGTTAGGAAGAATCGTAAGCTCGTCCGCGCGTATTAGAATGGCTTGCGCGTAACGGGTTTAGGGGCAATTTTGGCAAGGGCGGCATGCTGCGCGCGCGTATATGCTCTGTTCTCATGTTTGGGGTGAAACAACCTTCCATGTCAAAATTTCGGAACGTTCGGGTTTAGGCGAGCTGCTGTCTTTAAAGGCAGTGGGTCGGCAGAATGAGACCCGTGGCAAAACAAGTCACATGGTGGGAGCCGCCATATGGAACCTATGGGCCAAAGTTCGATATTTCTCTGCCACTTCTAACCCCCGGAATTTTAAAGCGAAAGCAGCGCTCATCTCCTGTCCTCTCCGAACCCGCCCACCCCATGGACGAGTGACTTCCATGGTCAGAGCGCCAGCCGCAATGCTTTAAACATGAGGTCCCACAACGACTCTGCGTCTTCGCCATGACGGGCTTCGCGTCCACTCGTCCGTGGGGTGGGCGGGGTCGGAGAGGAGAGGAGATGAGCGCTGCTTTCGCTTTGAAATTTCGGGGGTTAGAAGTGGCAGAGAAATATCGAACTTTGGCCAATAGGTTCCATTATGGGGCTCCTACCCTGTGACCTTGTTTTGTCACGGGTCTCATTCTGCCGACCCACTGCCTTTAATGGCACTTTAGTGAGCGTAGTGCCGTGGAAGCGGCTGTCTGATCAAAGATGTAGCAACACAGAATCAACAATCAGGTTTATCCGCAGACATATGAAAAGAGTAATAAACGGGATACCGGGATAGAGCACGACCATAGTCCTGATGCGAGCCGGTGGAAGAATACAGAGGCAGTCCGCATAAGCGGGAGAAGGTGAGCGAGATCAGGTCCGACCGCCCAGTAGCTTGTCGGTGGGGAGACTCCACGAGGTCGCGAACAGATTGGCCACGCCCTGAATAGATGAGTCATGGGCCATGACTCATGGCTATGCACATCACACAACAAAATCTCTCACACCTCCCCCATTCTACAAGTCCGTCCTTGGACTTAAAGAAAGAGGAGGTAACCAAGAAATCGTGCTGGGGGGGGGCAAAAAAAGGAGAAACCCTACCGTCACTAGGCTGGCAGGAATCTGCCGATAGGCCGCGGGGACGACGGCGTGGGGCTGTTCGACCCAGCAGATGATCTGTGCCCATGACGGAATGGACCGTAGCAAAGCGACGTGCTCTAGGAGGAATAAGCCATGCCGCGCGCTTGTGAGGGCCACGTGAAGGCGTTTGCGGTCTTAAGGAATTCAGTGGACGTGTCGAGGTTGATGTCGGTTCGGGTGGTCAATAAGACGATTATGTCCTTCTCGTGCCCTTGGATAGAGTTCACCGTGGCGAGCTCTATCTGGGCTTTGCGCATAGATGTGCATTCGGCGCGAATGTTCCTTGGAGAAACAGAAAACGCACAGCAACTGAGGCCGGATGCGGCAGGCTTGCAATCGTGCGACGATGTTGCGGCACACCGCTGCTTCCGTGAGGCTCTGGTGAGAACACCGATGAGCGACGAGAGTGACCCGGAGTTGCCGTGTCGCGTCATGTCGAGAGTATACGTGCTTGGGGAGCGAGCACGCTCCAGGGTTCTTTGATGACCTGTGAGGGTTTGTGGGGTTGGTTCGCAGGTCTGATACAATGCAACTGTAGTTGACAGGAGAGTAAGTATGTGTGGTGAGCTTAGTGTCAGACTCAGCGGTGGCTGTTGAGAGCGGGCTATGCGAAAGAGTTGGGCCATTCGGTGCTTTGCTGTGCGAGGATCGCGGTTGTAGTTATCAAATTGGTTAAAGGCAGTGTCCGGGCAAAAACTCGATTTTGAGATTTTGTGCTTACTGGGGCCTATTCGCTGTGCTGAATCCGAAAATTCACATTGGAAAGCGCGAAAACGGCGAAAAAGGGCTCTAGTGTAGGAGTAAAATCAAAAGGGGGCGGGGTCTTCCCCACGGTGAATTCACGGTCCCAGCTTCCGGAGCGATCTTCTTGGTTCCGATTTCAGATCATGCATATGCACTTGGTCTGTGGAGATGTCAGGACAGTTAGCGAATTAAAAAGATCGCTCTGGAAGCTGGGACCGTGAATTTACCGTGGGGAAGACCCCGCCCCCTTTTGATTTTACTCCTACGCTAGAGTCCTTCTTTGCCATTTTCGCGCTTTCCAGTGTGGATTTTCGGATTCAGCATGGCGAATACGCCCTGGTAAGCACAAAATCTCAAAATCGACTTTTTGCCCGGACACTGCCTTTAAGACGGTCCTCTAGCCAATTTTTGTCGAATCGTCAAGCTTGGGATCTGGAACAGAGCCAACAATTGGAGAGTGCGGGGGTTGAGAGTGATCAGGTGTTATCGTGTTTGGTAGGGGAGCTAGCGACTGGGTTGCCTTTCCCAAAGAATCCGAGCCAAGTGTCAATTGTGTAAGCGCAATCGACTGTGGATCGGCACCTTCGATTGTTTCAGAAAGCAGGGAAGATCCACGTTCTATATCCATGTCGGATGAAGCTGCTGAAAATAGCAATATGCGTGTGTGCTAATGATCTTTGCGAAGATCGTCAAAGTCTACTGACGATCTTCGTCTACTGGTGTAGGCGCCAAACACAACGCTGGAATGAAAAGATCTGATCTAAAGAGAATGCGGGGTGCGGCTCAACAGGGCTCATTGAAGATGAAGGTCCGGGTTCGGACATTTCGCGTGCGACAGGGCTTTTCCCGATGCCTATCTGCGAAAGGAAGATTTTCGACTTGCTTGTGGCGTTACGAAAATAGCGAGGCGAGCGGAGTTGAGGGCGAATTTCACGAATATACGCGGCACTAGCGCAAGCAAAAGGAAATTGATGGATGTTTCTAGCACGGTATAACGTGTATATCGGTTAGGAGGATACGGATGGGCAGACCATCAGGTGAGATAGAAGTTTTTCGTGTTTTATAGCGAGTATTGCACGGATGTGAAGGCATTGTTTGAGGCACCGCTGGAGCGGTTCAAGGCTGGTATGAGTATATCCAATGAGGCCATGGTCTGCGGCTTGATGGTGAGTTAACGCGAGTCGTTCGGGTCAGGGCTCGGCACGAGGTGGCTAGATGAAAATGGAAAAAACGAAGTCCCCCTTGACTTTTGGGAATTTTTACGAAGTCCCCTTTGACCCTCAACCAAATTTCCTCTAAAAACCTGAAAAATTCCCCAAAATCCCCCAAAAAACGAAACGTCGACTAAAAAAAAAAGGTCGCCGTCGCCAATTTTCCGTGTCTCTTCGGTCACAAAAACGAAACCCCCTTTGCTTTTCGTCCCAAAAACGATATCCAGCTTGCTTGTAAGCCACCTCGTGCCGAGCCCTGGTTCGGGTTCAGGCTGCCATGGCGTGGTGAAGGCCGGCCCGCTGAGCTTGACTTTTTGACTTGGTTCATGTGGACGCGCATAGGCTTGGACTGTAGGGAAGTGATGCTGAGGATAGTGAGATGAGGATGATCTACTTCGAGAACTCGAAACTATCCCAGCCAAGGGAGAGAGAGAGTTTGGAGGATAAGCCCAGTTTAGGCGCAAAATCAGATAAAAATAAGGTAAAGATGTAAAAATTGGAGATTTTGGCACCTGCAACTTTCGATCCATATATGGAGTCACAAGTGCGGTTTTTTCATCTGATCTTTTATGAGTGATGAGAAACGACTCTTTATGGTACTACGGTGCATATAAAAGTAGTCTCCATATCTAAAGAGACGCTAAAAAAGAATAAGCGCACTTTTACCATCGGTGTAGATGTTCTGCGTTTAGTACAATTTAGAGAAGTCCTCACTTCAAGAATTTTTTGAGAAAGCGCAAAATGTTGGCCAGAGCTTGTACTCGTACATCTACACCACTCTGAAGAACGCATCAATTCTTCAAGGCCCGATAGGAGGACAAACACATTCTGTCGCTGAACAACGCGCAAAACTGAGGCGGCAGCAGTCAAAGACACAAACTATTGGGACTTTGTTCAAACGGTTCTAAGCATACTGGCATGCTGTAAATTTGTCACCTTTCCATCTTGCTTGCTACTATCCATCCCGCCTACGTATGACAATAACATCTTGCGGGAACGAACCAAATGCGGAAAGTGCAGTTGCCGAAATCGCTAATTTTTGCCTCTCAAAAAACTTTGCTTTGAGAGATTATAAATCAAAGGGATTCAGATTCGCTCTGAAAGCGAACAACGTTTTTTGTAGAGCAGGATTAGCTCTTTCAAACAGTACAGGTGCTTTGACTTAAAACAACCGCTTCATCGAGAAACTACAAAAATAAAAACTCTACGGACTCGTGAAACTACCTAATACAATATCGCCAGTTTCAGGAGTTTTGTCTTGAAATTGGTTAGAATTCACTGATCTAGAGAGACAGTCAGCTACCAAGTTTGACGACCCTTTCGGGTAGTCGATCGTGATATTGTAACTCTGCAACTCGACCACCCACCGCGCTAAATTGTCGTGGATTTAGTCATGTTTTAGCAAATAGGTGAGAGGACGATGGCCCGAGAATATGCGCGTGAGATGTCCATAAATTCTTGCCTTAAAGAAGCGTAGTGCGCTGACCATCGCGAACAGTTCGATATGAGTGGGAGACCATTTTTGTTGAGATGCCGATAAAGACTTGCTATAGTAGCCTACCGCGACTAAGGTTTTTTCGTCGCGGAGCGCTTGTTGGAAGAGCGGGGCTCCTACCGCTACTTGAGTACCGTCGGTATGTAGCATAAAGTCTTTATCTTGAGGGAAGGCTAAGCAGGGTTTGGCAGTCAACTTCGCGCAGCTGCGAAAGCTTCCTGCTGTCGGTTGGACCAAACAAATTTCGCCTTTTCTTTAATGAGCTTGTATAATGGCGCCGCAATTCCAGAAATTTTGTATGAATTTCCGGAAGAAATTGGCCATGCGTATAAAGCGCTTGACTCCCTTTGCATTCGTTGGGGTCTGGAGGTTCTTGATAGCTTGAAGGTTCCTATCCGAGGTCTCATAACTACCACCCGAGATTTTATGGCCCAGAAAAATTATCTGAGGGAGCTATGTCAGTTAGCTTCTTACCCGAGACTTTGATGTTGATGTCGCGAAGTTGGAAGAAAACTTTGCGTAAAGAATTTAGATGGCTAGGGAAGTCTTTGTCGAATACCGCGATATCGTCAAAACATGCGAGATAGTTTTCCTCCAGTCCCGAGAGAATACGTGACATTGCGAGGGAGAACTAGGCGCCCGCGTTCTTAAGACCAAAAGGAAGATACACGAATTGATAGACACCTCGATGCATGGCCCGGCCGCACTTGGCTTGGCTTTCCGGGGATAGCAAAAGTTGCATGTAGACCGAGGCCAGATCCAGGGACGTATAATACTTGTTCCATGCAATCTTTCCCAGGATATCATCTATTCGCGGAAGCGGATAATGGTCGGGTATCGTGATTTCATTGAGTGGGCGAAAGTCGAGACAAACTCGTAGAGATCCGTCCCGTTTTCTGACAAGAACCGTGTCGTAGATCCACGGGGTGTCTTTTTCTTTTATTCTACCGGCTTTGAGCAGCTTCTTGCTATTGATTCTTGATCGTTCAATTCCTTCTGGAATTTGACTGGAATACGCGTGGGTCGGAATTTGGAGGAGGGGGGGGGGGAGACCTCTGCGGTAGTTTTGATATGTATGACGTCATGGTCATAAGAACCTAAGTCATAAATATGCGAGATGCGATCACGAAATTCCAAAAAGAATGCTTGCAGTTGTTCTCTTTCAACCGTTGAGACCTCAGCTTTACTGAGATTAACAACAGGATGGTAGGAGTCTACTGGTGAAGTGCGGCGTTTAGCCGCCTTTTTTGGTTGCAATGCCAAAAGGTTAGTGCTATAAACTGGACTGTTCATAGAGAACGCCGTTTTCTTCAAGTAAAGAGACCGCAGTTGCTAACTTTTGAATTTTATATAACACGAGAGAATTTTTGGGAGAATTAGAGACTAGAACGTGAGTCGTACCCGATGAGAATACAGTTGGAGTGGCAAATAATGAATTTTGGAGAAACTGCTGTGGTTGAGTAACGAGCATTACCGGGGTTGACGACGCTGTGGATTATAGCATGGCACATACGTCTCGAAGCATGGCCGTAACGGCGTCGTTTCTAAAACACGAACTACTATTTCACCGTCTTCCTGGGTAGCGTTAGAGAACGCAATAAGGATACGGATTGGTTCACTATCTTATATATAAAGCTGAATGTCTGTTTGTCTGTCTGTCTGTATGTATGTACCCTCGATATCATCCCATATGTCTTCCCTCAACATGACGTGGATTACGTGGCTTGATAAGGCGCCGCCTCGCCTCGGGCTTGCGCCACGTTGCGTGCGCATTTTCGGCGTGATGTGGCAACGAACAGAACGTGGAAAAGCCTGCGCCACGTTGTGTTGAGCGCCACGTCGCGCCAAATGATGCGCTCGCAACGTGGCGCGAGCCAGAGGCGAGGCGGCGCCTCATCAAGCCACGTAATCCACGTCATGTTGAGGGAAGACATATGGGATGATATCGAGGGTATGTATGTACGTATGTTCCGAATAGAAAATTCCATTTCTGAACCGATCGGGACCAAACTTGGCACACATACATTTCGGGCCCCGGCGGGTGTCATAGGCTACTTTTCGTCATCGATCGATATCGATTTCATCGATTTTCAAAATTTGAGCTACGGGGCTGAGAGTTGGCACAGGGGGTAATCGAACATGCTGATTACAGATATGTTATTGACAGGGCCGGGCGGAGCCGGGTTTGCCAACTAGTTTACTGATAAAAGGCGTCTTGCATGATCAATGGACCATGAGGAAGCTGTGACAGAACGTTGTTGTCCATTAGTAAGTCAAACGCATCAGTTGTCAACGCGTCAGGAATACACTCCGTTTGTAAAGTGGACAGTTGCAACTCTGGTGGTCGTGCCTACTTGAAGTTCTAATTGCGCGCTACCCAAAAGAAAAATGCGTACACCAGCCATTCTCACCGCCGTATCAACGGAGCCTTTATTGAGGTGAAAATGCCTAGTAGTGTTGCTAGCTCTCGACCAGCCACCGAAATGGCGGCCCCCGTATCGATTAGTCCCAGTAGAGCGATATCATTTGCTCGAACTGGTATCTGGGCAACAAAGAAACCAGTGTTATCGTAAAGCGACAACACTTGGACTGAGGCGATGGAGAGTTTAGGTGGCCATGCATGCGTAGACGCTCTCTCGAAACGGGCTAACTCAATGGATTGATTGTCCGTTCCCGTTGCGGATGGTGTACTGTGGCCGTATTCATGAACGAACCCCGAGGGTTGAACTAACCCTGGAGGGTTAGTTTAACCCTGGAAAGCGTTTAACCCGTATTCATGAAACACAGGGTAGGCTTAACCCTGAGGGTTAAATCTAACCTTGAGGGTTAATTTTACCCCGAAAGCGACTAACCCGTATTCATCAACGAACCGTGAGGGTTAAACTAACCCTGGAGGGTTAAACTTACGTGATTCATCAGGGTTAATTTAACCCTAGCTCAGAGCAAGGTTAACTCTACCCTAACACTTCATACGAACATCTACTCGCATCTAATAGTTCTATAGAAAACGATCAACGAATGTTGTAGTACTTAATATTAGCTGTTGTTATAGTATCTAGTTTCAACTTCGTTTCGTGTTCAGATTCGAAGTACATGAAACACTGACTTCGCGAGAAAAAAAATCCTAGCTTGGTGACAAATGAATGCAACGAGGAAAAATGGTTACGCATTCCACTCTGACAAGTGCCAAAACAGAAGAATTCCTATGATAACACGCATTGACCCTCAAAAGAGTAGCACAAGCCCGGTATAAAACGGACTACGCAAAGGAACTTGGAACACGGCACAATTGCACACATGAAAATAAACCCACGCTGTAAGATTAGATGCTGCACAAATATGCTAGAGATGTATCATAAAAACTAGTGCTAGAAGCTTATTCGTTGATTATACTACTATAAAAGTGAAAGAATAGAAATATAAAGTAAATTTAGCGTACTTAGGCATTCTGTGATGTGAGTTTGCACAGCGCACGCATAACTGACGCCTTAACCCTCCAGGGTTAGTTTAACCCTCAGGGTTCATTGGCCGTATTCATCAAACATAGGGTTCGTTGATGAATACGGCCACAGGTTCGTTGATCGATACGGGTAGATCGTTCCGTGGTAAACCCTAGCCTATGGTTGATGAATACGGCCAATGAACCCTGAGGGTTAAACTAACCTGGAGGGAAGCTTAACCCTCAGGGTTCGTTGATGAATACGGCCACTGGATGAGGATGTAGTGGCATAGGAGGCATGGAGCGCGGCAGGACGACTGGGGGAGTCTGACGACGCGACCAGTTGGATATTGAAAGGCGAGATATGAGATTGGGATAGGGAATGGTTATATAGAGCATCAGCAGTGTTTTAGGACAACCAACGTGACTACTACACAGCATATGGAACCCCAAACATTATACGGGGATACACCACAGGCGCATATAGGCGCAGAGTTCCTCTGGTGAGGGAGTCCAGGGCAACAACGACCTTTCCTTAAGAGTACAAAACCCATCTTTATAGGTGCAATGTGAGGCGTCGCGAATCGCGACTGCAGGGTCGCGGACCTCGGAACCGTGACGCGCATGAACAAAACGGGGTGACGAAACAGTTGATGACGGTTAAATGATATTCCGTGCAGCATCCAAAAAGTGCTGTGGAGTACTCGAAAGATAGGGTGTTAGTCGTCCTGTATGAACCCTCTATCTCTTGCATTACTCCATGCTCACATTTGTGATACTGACGCATCTGACGACATTGTTCTACCGAGACTATTTTGTATGTTTCGGTAAAAGATTGATGTCGCGCTCCGAAAAAGTTGACACATACGTTACCGACTGTTCTACTAATCTACATAGCACTGTAGGGCCCCCGAGAATGGGTCGCGAAATTTTTAAAAGTTACTTAAATGCGTTATGAAAATACGCAGAGGACTTGTTTTTACTCGTAAATAATTAAAATATTTTTTGAGAATTTTTAAAAATTTTAAATAAGCTTTGTTAAAAAAAATTTTCGGGGGGGGGGTACGCCACTGCTGCAGGGGTTTCGTAACTCTTAGAGTTAGGACGGTAGACATGGACGGATGTGATGGTGGGATTGCCACTCAGATCTGGTACCAAGTAAGACCAGTTATGAGTGAATGTTATGTAACTCAATGGATTTGTAGTTCACGTGGACACAACCAGACCGGTCGCGACGAATGAGCAACGGAAAGGCAAGATGCGAGTGCACACGCGATAAAGAGGCAATTTAGCCATGCACTCCGAAAGATTTTCTGGGGCGCTTCTCAAAATGTTTGCGGGCCCATAACCCCTAAAATCTAGAAAAAAGTGCGTGGCCGCAGCCACGCTCTCGGAAAAATTTTTTTACAAGGCTAATTTGAATTTTTAGAAAATGATTGAAAAATTTATTTCAATTATTTACAAGAATGAACAAGTCATTTGCACATTTTTATAACCCTTGAAAGTAGATTTTGAAAATGTCGCGAACCATTCGCCTCCATCCCCCCTTCCCGTCCCTCCTTGGTCCGCCACTGATATATGGTAAAGTCGACTGCACGAAAATCGCCCGGGTCGCTGTAGACTAAACGCATGCGAGCGTGCCTGCAACAAGGCTGCCGAGCACGGGCGTTATGTTGACTCATGCGCGCGAATGCCAATGTTAGCCCCAAGAGAACACTCGTGGGCGTTCAGCCGGGCGGTCAACTATACACAGCTTCAAAACACCAGGGAAATTACGCTCCAGTATTTTTCCATTCAAACCGGTATTTGAGCCAAACAAGACCCAGTGTTCTTTGTTAAGTAACGACGGTCATTTACAGAGGTTACGGTGCGTATATGGTGCATGATCCAACACAATAAAGGTGGGCCGATGTGTTTGGTGCGCAGATCACTGATAGTCTATTTCCTGCGCACAGTGGTGTCATCCAGAACACGGTAGGATTATGAAGATGAGTCAGGGTTACATGATCCAAAAAGTCCAGCGGGATCAGGCTATGCGCTGATAACGAATAAACTACTCGTATTTTGCTGCGGAGCCATTCATTGGAGTTACGATAGGTATATGGCAGACTTCTCGAAATTCGCCGGATTGGCCTACCCTTAGCCCGGTGCAAATCGGCTCTTTAGTCATAATTTTACTATCCGTTCTTCGTCAAGGGTTGTGTAAATGGTGTTATGATGGCACATGCAGTGGACTCGAAATTCGTAAGATTGAGTTACAGCATTCGGGCTCAGAACATGAACTCAAGACTCATTTTGTAGTTTACATTCATTAGGTTTGCAATGTACTCATAATACTGTAGGCAATCATAAACTTTTCCAAGTGTGTATGTCTGTGTGTGTGTGTTTGCCTGTACGTATGTTCCGAATAAAAATTTTTATTTCCAAACCGATTCGGACCAAACTTGGCACTTGGCAACTTTTTGCACCACAAAATTCAGTTTGCAATGTTCGTGAAGTGCTGGACTTAATTCATTACATTGCTTACATGGTGATGCAGCTTTCGCAACAACTTTCAGATTTTCTAGTGACGCAGTCGCGGTTTAGACCTGAAATACTTCCACGAAATTCTCTGCGAGCAGTCGATTCGACATAATTATAAATCACACTATTTTCCTCCTGATTTTTTTCCTCCTGATATGATTTTGCATGGTGCTCCACTTAATATTCAGCGGATGACAACTGGCTGAACCATAATGCTAACTTCGAAACTCTTTCCCAACTATGTAAACAGTTTGCTGTTGTACAGCCGACACAATGGCTACATTTCAGGATTTTCTGTTGCTTTCAAACTGAGTTTTGTGGTTTGAAAACG